ATGATTTATATATCGTTTCAGATCGACATAAAGGACTTGTCAAGGCTGCAGCTGAAATTTTCCCACATGCTATACATGGGTTTTGTGTAGAGCATCTTAGGCGAAATCTGATTCATAAATTCAGAGGTTCTGATGGGATTGGCTGGAAATTTAAGGCTGCGTATATGGCTGCTACTATTCCTGAATATGAGGAGTACATGGCTATGTTAGATTCTGATAATGCCAAGATTCGTCCATGGTTAGATAAGATTGGGAGTCACAAATGGGCTAGGTGTATGGCTGGTCCACGAAGATTTGGTGTGCTTACCTCTAATTGTGCAGAGTCACTGAATAATGTTAATGTCATTGCTAGAGAGTACTCCATATCTAAGCTCATTGACTTCTTACGTCAACACATGCAAAAGTGGTTCACGGAAAGAAGTGAAAAGACTTCTAAGAAAACTACCATTTTGTCCAGTAAATGTGAAAAACATTTAGTGGCATTGCAATATGCATCTACACACATGCAGGTATTAATTTTGGTTCCCTAAATTGTTATGCATTATCTTCACTTTTTAAGTGCATTTGTATTCTGGAACATTAGATTGTTACTTATTGCCATTCTGTGTTGCTCTTTAATGCCATGTTTCACTGCCATATAAACATTTTGTACCATGTCAAATACTGTTTCACCTTTCTCATATTTTATAATGAAAATTATAAAACTTTTACACTTTCCTCCATATAGGTGAAACCATCCTCATATTTGGAGTTTGAGGTTGTTGATAGGGATTGTCGATCATTTGTTGTTAACCTATCAAAGAAGACTTGCTCATGTGGTGTCTTTCAGTTGGATCAGTTCATTTGTGTGCATGGTGTTGCTTCTCTTCGTATTCGACCAGGCCTCTCTTGTTATGATTTCATTTCTCCTTATTATTCACGTGACGCATGGCTGTCTACATGGAGTGGTACCATTCATCCAATTCCGGATCCACAGTCATGGTCAATTCCACCAAGTGTTCTTAGCATTGCATGCAAGCCTCCAAATTGCTTGAAGAGACCTCCTGGCCGTCCAAAGAAATCCAGAATTCCATCCATTGGAGAGTTTCGTGGGTCAAAACGTCGAAGGTGCTCTCGTTGCCATGGCATTGGTCACAACAAAAAAACTTGTGGCAATCCCATTCCTAATGAAAACATTGGTGCTGTCTAACTGTATGGGGATTGCCATTATTCACTTAGCTTGAAATCTTTCTTTTGTATTTTGTTGAGTAATGTGCTGTAATAGAACAAATTATACTTCATATCTTTGGCATTACTTCTTTTGTTTCCATTGTATTCTTCCTGTTATCCTTTTATAAATAATATACTGTAATGGAACATATTATGCTATCAATAACAAAGTCTGTGTTTTCTTCATTCATTATTTATAGACAAGTGTGATGCATTCGTGTTTTAAGTGTTTAAAAGTTATATTTACTGGTTACTACATCTAGTTTCATAGTGATTAGGTATTATATTTATATATATGTAAAATCAATCTCTTACTATGCTGTGCCTTTAAATTTAGTTGCCAGATTTGATGTCAATGATTGCCATGTTTTGCTTATTAAATGTGACACAGATGTTATTAATGGCCAACATTCCAGAATACTTTTAAATGATGATTGCCATTCTTTCCACCTCATGGACATATGGACTCATGGTCATTTAGATTTTAGTATTTAAAGATATCTTTTGGAAGTAACCCTTTCAGTTAGGCAAAAATGTTAAAGTTTGAAGGATGCAAATTACAACTTTTCTAAAGCAGATTTTCTTTTTCCTAAGAGTTTGTCGAAGGTGTTCTAGAAAGTCAAAAATCAATATAAATAATTTGGAAACAATCTCTTATTACGTAAGGCAAAAAAATCAACTTGAAGTTGTCACCCCACAAAAACACCATACAAAGTGTTTGATGGACCATATTAGTTCTAAAACATCATACAAAGTTTTTGAAAAACATCTTCAAAAATATAGTTCAATACAGTCAACATGCATAAGCATTGAAAATGTGTTTAACAACAAGCCATTGAAATAGTAATGAAATTACAAAGTTTTTTTGTTTTTTTGCGTTTTAATGCCATCCTTTGTCCTTCATGTCAACCTTAATGCCATCTCAGATCTCAGTCATGCCTTCTGCTTTCATCCTCTCTTTGCTGTACTCAATCAACTGTGTTGTGATATTCTTGCAGTACATTGCCATGTCTTCAGCTTGCAGTTCTTTTAAATCCATTCCGAGCATCAAGAACTCAGCAATTTTCAACATATACATCCCACAATTGCCCCTGCATTTAACAAATCTTTTACTTTGTATTTTGTAATGCTCAAGTACAATAAATAACAATATATACTGAAATTGAAGCTTACGCAGCATCTTGTTGGGGGCAATCATCTACTGCTTCGATAAGCAGTTTCCTATGTTTCATAGGTTGTTGTTCCATTGCTTCGTAAACTTCATGGTAGTCCATCACTTGAGGCAAAAATTTCTCAATAGTAGCTCTGTATGATGCAATATCTCTCAATGAATCATCTCTCCTCTTACTTGAATTGTATACTTTCACTTTCCTCTGTTTCACCTCAAGCACCAATAAAATCCAATGGTTAATGGTGTGTAGAGGTATATAAACAAAATCCGCATCTGCCCAATGTAGAAAGAAAGATCCCATATTTCCCAGAATTGCATGGTATACGCTGTCGCTTTCTGCTGCATTCTGAACATTACTTTTTCCATTTAGCATTAAATCATACTCTCTCTTGAGTACACTCATGAAAAATGCCCATGTAGTTGTGTATCTCTGTGGCAGCTGGTAGTGAGCACGCTTCATCCCTAAATAGTACATGACCACATCTATATGCTGAAAAATTAAATTAATATGAATTATCATCCTGCTATTTGTGTATTATTTATGAATTTTTATATAATATAAATCATACCGAATCACTTAACCATGCATTGTTCGTCCACAGGTCATACAACCAAGTTTTAGCTTCAATCTTGAACATGTCCAGCACCAATGGATTCATTCTTTCTTCACCAATCTTGTATCTTCTCTTCTCTTTGGTGTTCATAATCTTTAGAAGCCCAACATGCAAGAAATCTTCCACTTCTTTTATTTTTCCTTCATCTACCACATCTGTTGGGTCTTCTGGGAATGGTCCACGTATTTGTTTCATCGGAGGCAAATATCCATCTTCATCTTTCCTTTTTGCCTTCACCTTCCTTCTTTTGGCTTCCTTACTCTGCTCAGCTGGAGTGTATCTATCAGGAGATCTTGCACAACGCTTTCCTTTTTTTATATCATTTTCTTTTCCCTGTTTTGGAAAACAGTTAAAAGAAATCACCACACTGAGCAACTGACAGAAGATGTATCTTGTAAGAATGTCCAACTGACAAACTGACAGAATATGTCTTTAAAGTCATCTTATATTGTATAATGACATATTACATGGTATTTAAGTAATAATAATGAAAAAAATTAGATTTATCAACTAAATATTAACATTTATTTGTATAAATTAATTCCCTAACCTGCATTTTTCTTTCACGTGCTTCTTTTTCAGCCTCATCAGCTTTTAAACACAATTCCATTATAAATTGTGTGTTCTCTTGACTCCATTTTTCTTCTTCTTCACATTCTTTATGATTACTACTGGCCCCCTGCATTTAACATTTAGAAAATTTTCCTTTAATGCCATAATGATGGGACTTAAAGCCGTATAAGCATTAATTCTTATGCTATTACCTTTTCATCTCCTGCACTGCCTTCAGTTGTTTTTTCGTGCCCAGCCACATCATCCCTCAATTCTTCTTCCTTGTCCTTGTTCTGATCATATGTCAAAATACATAAATTTATTTTAGATATGTACATGTAATGTAAATGTTAAATTAGGGCCATAACCACTAGTATTGTCTCATATTTAAAAATATATATGAAATATTACATGTACTTCTTCTAGTGCTTCTTCACTCTGAGTTAAGAGATTGAAATTTGGAGCATCATTTATCAAGTTTGCCCAGAAACAATCACTAGTAAGCCTTTTTGCTATTATTTCATCATCTAGCAATGCAATATCATTCTCATTTTCAATGTCACTGCAGACATTGTTTTTCCCTTGTAGATCATCACTCTGATTGTCCTACAAAACCCGTTATATTCATTTTATTCCAAGTTTAGTATTTAATGTCATTTCAGTGTCTTTAAGAGACACATAGTTTAGTATTTAATGCCATTTCAGTGTCTTTAAGAGACACATTTGAAAATTAACTCTTTCAATTACTAACTTGCAGATTCTCATCAACCCCTAGTCCTCCATTCTCATTCTTATCGGCATCCATGCTAATGTGATGTTCACTCATCTGATTGTCCTACAATAAACAAACATGTAACAATCATAAGTTATATAACAAAATAAATTTGAAATTAAATGATTTATTATTACCACAACATCGTTTCTTTGCAGGTCATGTACTTGCTTTTCTGCAGTTTTATCACTATTCTTAACTTCTTCATCATCTTTCTGTTTCTCCTACAAACAACATTATATTCATATTATACATTTAATACCAAATGTTGTACTTAATGTCATTTAAGTTGTCTATAAATGCCAATTTTTCAAATTAACACTTTTACTCCTATAACATGGAAATTTTGTTCAACATAAGCTGCTCCATTCTCATTCGCATTGCCATCCATGCTGCTTTGCTTCTCACTCATCTCATTATCCTACAATAAATTACCATTGTATCACAATAATGAAAGAATAAAATACATTTGAAATTAAAATCATTCATAATTACCTCAACATCATTTATTTCCACATCTGCTTCCTTCTCATGGCTTCTTCTGCCATTAGTCTCTTCTACTACCTCTTCTGCAGTCTCTTCCATCTCCAAATCCTCTTTCTGGTTCTCCGACAACAAACATTAGATGCATTTTATACATGCAAGTTCAATTTCTTTATTAAAAGATGATTTTAAGTGTCATATTTAATTCTAACAACCTGGCCATTCTGTTCAAGGTCTACTCCTGCCTTTTCAATGGTAACACTATTCTCGTCACTCACCACAATGGAACATGATTTCTTCTTTTGTTTTTTCTTTGGCATTTTCTTTATCAGAGATAAAATCTTCTTTAAAACTGAACCTTGCTTCTTAAACTCTGCATCCTGTTTGTTTTGCTTTTTTTTTAATTTCTTTTAGCTCTCCCAGTATCCTGGCCATCTGTTCAGTGTCTTTGGACCTGCTACACTCTCCTTTCTCGTTTTTGCTTTCATTCTTGTTACTCCTTGCACTTTTTCGGCTGCCTCTGCCATCTAGCACTGTTTCAGTTTCTTTCTCCTTTCCTTTTTGTTTTTGTGCATCCTTTTTCTTCTTCTTATGTAGTGCTCTGTCTGCATCAATTCTTAAGTCCTGGAATGCTTCATTGCCTTCTATTCCCTGAAGCCCTTCAATGCATTTAATCTCATCTTGACTTGGATCCATTCTTGTCCACTCAAACTGCCAAAAACAAAATTACATTTGAAGTTTAAATTAGTATAATATATATACATTACATATGTATCTCTATCTATATACAAAATTGAATATACCTCAGTATTGTTGAAGATGAGCTCACAGAACTTTTCTATTGACGGTTTTTTGTGAAAAGACCATCTCAAAGTCCGTGGTATTTGTTCTTCTTTTCCTTCAATTTTATTGCACAATCCTGCACTAGCCAAACTTGGAAAAGTTTCAAAAGCCCAAATTTGTATTGCAAGCATACAACCTGGGAAAGCAACCCTTTTTTCTGTACATATCTTCAATGCTTGGGCACTGTTTTTCATATTTGTCACAAGGTCAGTCCAGACATCCTCCCCCCAGGGGTAAGAATTGAAAGCATCAACATCTTCTGCTAAGTTGATATATTTTCCAGGGATACGATGTGAGTACTGATTACCTAGGAAACCATTTGCTATGACATACAACAATGCCAATTTAGTGCCATCTTCTTTCTCTGTGCCAGGATACTTAGAATTGTACTCCTCCATTGCTTGAATAATATCTTGTATAACTATTATTTTCTTACTACCAAAGTATCTTCGGCACAAGTCCCCACCTGGTACCTCAAGAATATTGGGCAATTCTCCCCCTATCTTCAATCCTGTCACTAGTGCCAAATCCTCCTTCGTGAAGCCAATCACACTATTTCCTATGTGAAATCTGATTTTAGTCTTTTCAGATATGCCATTGAACTCCTCTATGTAGTTTCCTACAAAGCATATACTTAACTGTCCACTTATTCTTGGCATTTGTTCAATATCTAAGATCCATCCAAAAACTGTCCCTTTGAATTGTACTAATTCTTCTCTGTTGAGTTTGCTCTTTATGCGTTTAGCAATCTCAGTCAAATTCGAATAGCAATTCACACGCAGCATCCGTAGCTTTTGAAGGATTCCACTATGACATGTCCTTGTGATGGTCTGGAATAATAATTACACACAATTAAACATTTCTTAAATTATTTCATTTCCATGTTATTACCATTAAGAACTTTTGGACAGATTCTCACAAGCGCAAGTATGATCTGTACTAATGCCATTTTGACTTAATAACTACTTATACACTAACAAATTGCTTTAACATGTTATACAACTTATATTTTAACATGGCAGTAATTAACTTTAAAAACTTTAATATGTTATACAACTTATATTTTAACATGTCAATAACCTTCTCATTTTACATGTTTTACTATGACACCTAAATGTCATTATAGTGCATATAAGATGGCATTCAATAACAAACTATTTTTGTAATATAATCCTTCACTACACTTAATAAACTGAATTACTAAATTCCTAAACTCATAAGCACACACATATCTATACAATCTCTTATTTAGCAATTTCAGTTCCGTGAATAAGACTTGCATGACTTCCTCATTCCATAAACATAACCATGTACCTTAGACCCCAATTAAATAAACAAAGTGAAATAAATTTGGCATTAACAGCAATTACTAGCATAGAATGCAATAAATAGCACAAAGATGCCTTTCATGAGTTCAAATATTCTAACTACAATATCAGTGTGTGTTACACAACAAATCCGTAAACAAATTCAAATAAATATGGCATTAACAGCAATTCGTAAGACACAAATGCAATTAATAGTACAAAAATGGCTTTCGTGAGTTCAAATATTGCAAAACGCATATACTTTTATGATAGACACGAGATCTGTAAACAAATTCAACTAAATATGACATTAACAGCAATTAGCAGCACACAAATGCCTATGTTGAGTTCAAATATTGAAAAAAAAATATACGTGAATATTACACAGCAAATCCGTAAACAAATTCAAATAAATATGGCATTAACAGCAATTCGTAAGACACAAATGCAATTAATAGTACAAAAATGGCTTTCGTGAGTTCAAATATTGCAAAACGCATACACTTTTATGATAGACACGAGATCTGTAAACAAATTCAACTAAATATGGCATTAACAGCAATTAGCAGCACACAAATGCATATGTTGAGTTCAAATATTGAAAAAAAAATATACGTGAATATTACACACCAAATTTGTAAACAAATTCAAATAACTATGACATTAACAGCAATTCGTAAGACAAAAATGCAATTAATAGCTATAAAATGGCTTTCGTGAGTTCAAATATTGCAAAACGCATATACTTTTATGATAGACACGAAATCTGTAAACAAATTCAACTACATATGACATTAACAGCAATTAGCAGCACACAAATGCCTATGTTAAGTTCAAATATTGAAAAAACCATATACGTGTATGTTAAATACCAAATCCGTAAACAAATTCAAATTAATAGCGATTGTTAGCACAAAAATGACTTCGTCAGTTCAAATATTGCAAAACGCAAATGCATGCTAGTTGATAAACAATGCGACAATTAAAATAAAATAAAATTGGCAATAAGTTTATAAACTCGTACCAAATCTCGTCTGATTTTAACTTTTTCGCCGGTTGACTCAAAGTCGGAATCAGCCATGACTGTCTTCTTCTTCGTCCGTTCTCACACTTAGGTCTGAATTTTGCTTTTACTTCTTCTCTAATCGTTCTCTAAGTCGGAGAGAGTTCTTAGTTCTTAAGTCGTTCTCATGCTCTCTTTGCTTCTGCGTCTCTGCATCGATGACTTTAGGCGCGAATATGAGAAGGAGGCATTGGGGCAGTTACGCCATATTAATCTGAAACGCGAATTGCATCGAGCCAAGGAATTGCATCGAGCCAGGGGATTGCATCATTAAGGGCATTTCTGTCATGACACCATTTTTTAGTCCTACTAACCATAAATTTTACCTGCGGTCCTATTTGTGCACAATTTATTTAGTTTAGTCCTATATAGGTAATTTTCTCTAAAATATATGGTACATGCTTGAATAATTTCTTGGCCATTTGTACAAAATGGAGTTGTATTCTCAGTTCGTGTGTTTGTCTATGGTAATTTTCGGAAATTTATATGCTATTACTCGTTGGTAGCTGTGTGTTACTTATGTAACTATATGGGGCTGAATATAAGGCAAGAATTTTTGTCTTATGAAACACAAAAGTGTATCATCTGGTGAGCTAAACCATTGTGTTAAAGAGATACAATGATGATATAATTTTAACTGATATTGTTGTATATGCATATACAATAATACCATAAGGGATATCAAATTGTCATATACGTAGTATATAACTATGACAAGAGGAGTTAATAATATCCTTTGGCGCGCGGAAATCCTAGGATATTATACATACACCGAGGGAAATGGACTGTCACGTGAAAACAAATAGCTAGGGATGGTAACCCAACCTGTGTGATTGAAGATCCCATGAAGCAGGTTCATATGGGTAATAACAAGTCTTCTATTTGTTCTGTTAGCCTATTTTAAATGTCCATTTCTGGGGTGAGGCTAGACTGCATTAGTTGTGAGGCTGAGCTAAAACTCTTAATGATTTTCATAGCCTTATGGCTGGTGTGTTAAGTGTAGAACACACTTGATGAGGTCACCTATATGAGTGTGAGGTGGGGCCGCCTCCTTGAAGCATGACAACGCTTCTAGAGCACTCGAGAATACCAAGCACGTGCATGGTCTAAAGGCGCACCACGGCGTTAACGCGAGGAATTGTGGGGGGTGAAACATGGCCATTAAGACCCTGACTTACCATAGTAGCTTACTGGTTCATAGAAACTATATGTTTCATCAGAAGCTCGGTTTGTAAAGACTTAATCGTCTCAGTTTGGTTCATAGTCTTCGGACACCAGACTTAAAGTCTCATTCCCGTTAATCTAGCAGATTTTCCAAATTATTTTTAATTATTTTTATTTGAAAATAACATGGTTTATATATAACATGTGAATTTTCCATATAGTTTTAAGTTTTTCCCTTAGATCATTGTAGTTGGTACAAGGAAACTAACATGTATGCAAGCAGAAACAGATGACGGTGTGTGTTAATGCCTTCCTAACTAATTCATGAGATATTGAGATGGCAAGTTTGCTGATGGATCTAGCTCCCTTTTCAGCCCATGATGATAGTTCGATCTTTCAAGAGGATAATTACCTCAATCGGACTGAAGATTTAATTTTCATTTTAGAACAGTAAATTTACATATAGAGTTGTCCAATTTACTGTACTTGGACATGGGATTGGAATATTGGATTGATTAAAGAGAGGGAGGTCGGTAAAGGATAAGAAAATAATCCCTCCTTTCACTTTCTAGTACGGAGTATTCTTTTTGCACCGTTCTTAAACAGTCGTTTCATTTTTTTGTTCAACACTTCGTGTTTTCAAGTTTCAACTTCACCATTAGTTAGAGGACGTATATTTCGAGTTCGTCAATGACTTCGCTCTAGAGTCTAGCCCTAATCAAACTAAACTCATCCTAATCCCAATTCTCATTGCAAAATGACATAATTATTTAAACAAAAAATATATTATAATTCGATTATATTTTGTGAAATAGTTTTGATGCTATATAATATAATAGGTTATTAATGAAAACTGTGATGTTCTGGATATATTATTTTTTATACGAAGTATTTGATAATTAAATTGTTAATTAAAAGTGTTAATTGTTTGCTAAAAAGAATGAGAACCTTTAGTAGAGAGTTCATAAAAGTAGTAAAGTGAGAATTTTTGAATGAGACTAGCATTATGTAATAGACTAGGGTCATTTATGTATTTTAAACATTATTCACTATTATAAATAAGGGGGATTTACCTAAATGGGAGTAATTAAATTACTAATTGCCAAAATAAGACTAAAGTTTAAAAGTTCCCTAAATAGGACTTATTATTTGTAGATGGATAGAAGTACCCCAGAATTTGACAAAACAGACTGCCACCTACAAAATACCGGACCGGCCACCGCCAGTAACCGCCAGTAACCGCCGACCACCGCCGACCGCCAGTCGCCGCCGTAACCTCAAAACTAGCCGCCGCCGCTGGCTGCCTATGCAGATCTGACCGTTGCCGCCGGAGATCAGGCCGCCGCCTCTCTAAATCGGGTTAGATCTTACCTCCGCCAATTGCCGCCCTAGCAGATCTAGCCGCCACTGCAGATCCAAACGCCGCCATCACAGATCCGGCCGTCGCCATGGCAAATCTGACTGATGCCACCACTGATGCCAACTTTTTTATCAAAATGCCAACATGAATCGAAAATGCCATTTTAATGACATTTTCAAAGAAAATAATAAAATTTTTAAAGAATAAGAATGCCATTTTGAAGGCATTTAAACGAAAAATTGGCAATGTAAAAATGAAGTAAACCACACCAGTTTAATTACAAATCTTATTGACAAACATAGAGGCAGCAAGCTAGTACAAACCAAAACCGAGCAAAAAAAGATGCAAAGCTCACAGAAATTCGTATAAAACAAAAGAAGCAAAGAGGCGACAAGGATGTTGCAGATCGACGGAAAAGAAGAGAGAAGAAGATCACGCAGCTTGGCACCACCACAACCGCACCAGATTCAATCGGAAAAAATTGAAGAAATAGAGGAAGCAAAGGAAGAGACAGACCACATACAGTCGTTGCCGCTGCTCATCGGCGCTCGCCGGCGCTGCTTGCCGGCACTCGGTGCCGCTGTTGCTGCCCGCCCCCTCTGGCAGTTGAAGCCCTGCTATGTGTAGAAGATGCGACCCTTGAGCGTGGACGAAGCTTATGAGTTGCGCAGGGTTGAAATGAATTAGAGGGTCAAATTGGGAAAAGGGTCGTATATAGGGAATAAAATTAAGTCTACTCCTATTTTGGAATTTTAGCAATAATTTAGTCCTATTTAGGACAATTTTGCCTATAAATAAACCTGTCAGGGCTCCTAAAGGGGTAACCTGTTTCATTCTCTCATAATAGACTAGGGTCATTTATGTATTTTAAACATTATTCACTATTATAAATAAACCTGTCAGGACTCCTAAAGGGGTTACCTGTTCCATTCTCTCATATGATATCAAGAGCTAGGGAAACCTAATTTTTTTTTCAAAAAGTCTTGGTGTACACCCTGGGTTACACCCTGGGGTACACCATATATAAACCTTCTTTTTTTACTGCTTTCTTTACCCCTCTTCTCACACAGCTCTCCCATCCCCATTCCTCACGCACATTTCTTTCTCTCCCACATCCCTCTTTGTTCGTTCTCTTCTTCCCACCTTTCTCTCTGTTTTTTATTTTTTCTTTCCAGATATCATGGATGATTTTCTAGCATATTTGATGGTGGATGGAGAAGTGACCGGAAACGATGGAGGTTTGGAAGATACCCCTTACCTGCGACGGATGACGGACAACGGAAATGGAAGAAACGTGGAAGCTCTGAATGTCGAAAATGGGGGAGCTGTGAACGAAGAAGATGGAGTTGCGAACGGAAATGGTGGATCTGTGAATGAGGAAGATAGATGGTGGTCCGAACAACCCTAGGGACGAAGACTTAGGTGGGACGGGTGGCAGACCTGTGACACAAGGCGTCAATGAAGTTTCGATATTTGACGACCGAGATGATTACAGCTGTGACGGGAAGAGAATAGCAGGGAGAACATGAACACAGATGTTGGAGGTATTTTCTTTGACATACAGACAACTTACATACTCAGTGTCGGTGTGTACCGACAACTAATGTCATTGTGTACAGAGTAGTGTCGGTATGTATAGACAACTAAATAAATCCTCATTGAGTTGATGCATACCTACAAAGATGAATGTTGTATCTGTGAATGAGTTAATCACTAGGGTTCAATTTACCCTTATTCAGATTTTCTAAGTGGAAAATTTATAGAGGAGTTATTTTTAATGAGTGCATTGACAATAATAAAGTGTTCAAAGTTTGTTTCGGTTTATCACCGTAATGACTTCGTCAATGAGTCATTGTAAACTGATAATACAAACAGATAGAATATATAGAGAGCAGATGACACCGTAATGACTAAAGGTGTATTCCACCCGAAAGTGATCTTTTTTCTTTCCTTTTGTTTATAGAGAGCAGATGCAATACTTATTTTAGAGGGATGTGGTGACAGAGGTGTGGAGATAAAAATACTTTATGCTAAGTATGAAAAAAAATCAAATGGGTGTGCTTAAAATGTATGTAACTTTCAAGAGTGACGAGGTCATGGAAAGCTATAATTTATCGTTTCTATTTTGTTTGATGTTTGTGAAGAAAGGTATCTTTATGCCAATGTATTTCTTCGTAGCACAAAAGTATATGTTAGGCAGTGAGTAATGGAAAAGAAAGGTGTATTTGATTTATATGTGCGAGAGTATGAATTTTGGTTCCTAGGTCTAGCTAGTTGGCTAACTAGTATTGGTTTCATGACTTGGTAACAATATATAACTCGGTCCGTCAACCCTTAGTTCACCGAGAAAACATTATCTTGTAAAGGTAGGCGCTTTGTTTGAGATGTGATCGCTGAGTGCTTCAAACCATCAAAATTGATTTCAGATTTCCTTTCTTTTGACTGGTAAGTTTTGTATTTGTGATTAATAAAGGAACCTTATTAAAAGGGGAAACATGTCAAGTATTTTTGTTTGGAGAGTTTTTAAAATACCACTACATGCATACTATGTTGTAACAGCCATTCAATGTCTATATTTTAATTTCAATTGTTCTTCCCCACAATGTAAATGAGCATCTTAAGTGTTCCATAATTTTGATTCCATTTTTAAAATGGGTGGTAGAATCTCTGCAAGTAATGCTATGTAATTAGCTACATAGCTCCCATACTGAAGGCATGAATGATAGAAGCTACCGTTTCCAAAGCACAATGAGAAATTCAAGGACGCTTTGAAGGTAAATAAGAACTCTTTATTTTCTAGTACCTTTTAAATATTTACTCATGATTCAAGACATGTGTGTTTTTATTTGACCATGTTATGACCTTAATCTATAGTCTGATAGTGGTTGCCAAGGTTAAGCATGAAAGTTATGAAATGGAAAGATTACTACTTTTCATTGTGATTTTTGTCTTATACTAAGTTCTTGTTTTGCATATATGCCATAAATTCAACTTCTCGTAATTTTGGAGTCTTAGTTTGTTTTTCCAACAATCTTAAATAAATTTCATTAGTAATATAATTGTACGTATCTTAGTTAGAATTGATAAAGTCATTTGTGTTTCTGCATGTTTGTAAGTGTATGTGAAATAGCATGTAATTGTCTGTGTACACCAACATTAATGTATGTACGCTTCTTATTGCTAACTTTGTCGACACTGGTTGTGGTTACAGCACTAGAGAGTGTGGAGTCATGGTCATGGCGTTTGCGGAGAATTTGTTGTTGCAATTACCATTAAAATCAGGTTGTGACTACGCCAACATGTGGAACGTTAGATGTCAGTTTGCTATACCACTTTGGCGTCTGAAGAAGAAACTGATTGACATTTATTGCTCCTTTTTCACTTGTAAATAAGTTGGAGATGAAGTGGGGTAGCGAATGTTGAAGTTTTAGATTTGGATTTGAACATGACATTAAGTTTGTTGTAATGTAATTTAACGTGTCTTCAATTTTTATACTTGTGTGATTAAAGACAACTTATATTACTACTCGTGAACTTGGACCGCAAGTCCCAAGCGCAAATGTATGAATTTTATATTTAAATTTGAATGTGACATTGGGTTTGATGTAATGTAAGGATCATGGTTTATGCATTTTGATACTGTTATAGGTGACAGACTTGTTATAACCACATATTAAGTACTTATACAGACACTATTGTCGGTGCACACAGACAAAAATAACAACACACGTATTATTGTCGGTGCACACAGACAATAATAGGAATAAGACACAAGTATTATTGCAGTGCACTTGAACAATAATTACAACAACACAAGTATTATTGTCGGTGTACACAGACAATAATAACAACAATACACATATTACTATCGGTGCACACAGACATTAATAATAAACACGCCTATTACTGTCGATGGACATAGACACATTTCATTAACATACAATATGATACCGCAAACACATTCCATTACATAAACTTACAACTGTTTATACAAATAGAGGAAATGTTTACAAAATGTAGATGCATAAAAGTTTGACATTCAAGTTACAACCTTGTACAAAATTTAATGTCATGTTAAAATCTAAATCTAAAACTTCAACATTTGCGATCACCACTTCATCTGCAACATGAGGAACATTGACTCGCTTTTTTCCCGGCTCTTACCTAAATAAATGCAACATATGTGTTAGTGCAATTTAAAAGACAACACATTAATATATAGCACAATGAGAAAGATGTAGTTCCGAATCTCAGTTTCATTGGGAATTCATACAATTGTCCTGTTACTTAGATAACTACAAACCTGGAAGCCCTTATATTTCATGACATCCTTCAAGCGGAATATCCATTTTCATCAAAGTAAACAATGTCACCTGTGTGAAGCCGACCCTTATTGTCGGTATGCACAGACGATAATAACACATAAAAATATACAATTGCCGGTGCAAACAGACATTATGCTCTGCAAAAGAATGTATTCATGTTATTCACAAACAACAATACGAAGATCATAAACAAGTAATATTAAGGTCACGAAGAACCATATTAACCATATTAATTACTCGTCTCGGTACTCAGACAATATAGGAAGCTCCGTATGACACTCTTGACAAAGGGTGTATGACACTCTTGAGAAAGGGTGTTCAAACCAGTATAGGAAGCTCCTTGAGAAAGGGTGTTCAAACCAGCTTAAAGACACCTTAACGACACTTTTTGCATTTCACAGACAGAAAGTGTCGGTATACCTTATTTCATGCCTGGGATCTTCTGCCACTTACAGACACCATACCGACACTTTGTGAATTTCACAGACAGAAAGTGTCGGTGTACCTTATTTCATGCCTGGGACCTTCTGCCACTTAAAGACACCACACCGACACTTTGTGAATTTCACAGAAAGAAAGTGTCAGTGTACCTTATTTCATGCCTGGGACCTTCTGCCACTTAAAGACATGCTTAAAAGTGCAAACATGCTTAAGAAATCAGATGGATTGGCAGATGATGAGATGAACACTTTGAGATGATCAGTTCATACTCACATTACTAATAAGTATAGTAACATATACATACTTTCCTTTCATGATTACAGAAATCAAGGGTTGTGTCAAAATCTTGCTGAAAGTATATCAGTTGAGGGCTATCGTTTTGGGCATGTTGAAAACGATCAGAAGCATCGGCTAGAGGATCAAAGTGATTTTGGCCCTGTTGATTAAGTTCAAGGTGTAACTCTGCAACTTTCTGTAATCTTAAATAACACCTCACAAACACCTACTACTCAAACCCTAAGGTCACAAAAACACCACAATTGGATGACACATACAACCAATTTCAAAACACAACAAACTGACATTGAAGAAAATATCACTATATCCAATTCAAATATAAAAGGTAAAACAAAAAAATCAAGATTTATCTGAAGTACGTACCGTTCGGCCATTTCGGAGATGCTTGTTCACACCATGTTTCCCGCTATGGGTTTCGGAGAGGCAAGCTCCCACAGCGTTTGAAGACGGACCGAGGATAGAGATGGAGGCCGGTCGTCGTTCCTTGTACTTGGAGAATCGACCGATGACAAAGATGGAGGTCGGTCGTGGGTTCGTGAGGTGAGGGAAACACAGAGGAGTGGGATATTGACCAGAGCTGTTGTTGTGCGAAGTGAGGAAGGCGGAGCGGGAACGGCGGGGGATGCGGGAAAGAGGCGTTCGATTTCCGAAGTGGGTCGAGGTGTTTTTTTAGCTCAAGCTAAGATACATGTGCGTGTGTGTGAAAGGTGTGGGAGGATGGGGTAAAAAAAAAAGAGCCTTATATATGGTGTACCCCAGGGTGTAACCCAGGGTGTACACCAAGACTTTTTGTTTTTTTTTCAGCCAATTTTCTTCTCTCACGATCCGCGGTTGTCATGGCCTCTGCAGCAGCCAACACATCATCCACCACCTCGTCTTCCGCTCCGGTTAGCGCAAGCCAGAGTTCTCCCGTGATGGTATCTTCCTCTGGCGCTTCTTCTCATACAGGAATGCAGCCCACTGTCATCATGCCAGCAACCGCAGCTCAATCGGCTTCCTCTTTTGCTTCGCCAACCAGGGTATTTTCTTCATCATCTCTATTTCAGAATATACCCCCAATATTCTCTTGGTCCGCTCCACAGACTGTGCCGGAATTTAATTTGGAACCTCCGCCCTTCCTCTCCATGCCACCGTCGGTTTCCTCCATGCCAGTCAGTCTGCCGCAGGCCCTCTCCTCTTCACCGGCAGTCAAGTTCTCGGGTCCTACGTTTGTCAGGTCTCCAGGTGTATCCTCCACGATTCCAACAAACCGGGCAGTTCCTCCTCCCGATATGCAAACACCCATGGCAGATTTGGCACAGACTTTATCACATGTGGCCACCAATGTTACAAACATTGTGACTACACGGTTACAAGCAGTTGAGGATTACAGTACCTGGCGCACACAATTCGAGTCCTTCCTCGTTTCTCAGGGTCTTCTAGGCATGGTGGATGGCACACTTCAGGTACCTTCTATGCATTCCATAGACCTATACAATCGTCACATTCCCAATCCCGAGTATTCATCTTGGCTTCGCATTGACCAAACTATTCATTCTTGGATTTTTGCTACCCTATCTCGTGACGTTTTAATTGATGTCCGGGACTTGAAACATTCGTTTGGGATTTGGGAACGATTGGAGTCTAGATTTATGTCTGCCAGTTTACCCAGGTCTATGGAATTGAAACACTTGTTGAATACTATTTGCGTGAGGTTAAAATTTTGGTAGATGATCTTGCCTGTATTAATTGTCTCGTGTCTCATTCTGGGATGATTAAATCTATTATCATGGGGTTAGAGAAAGATTATGCGTTTATGATCAATACTGTGATGTTGTTTCCCCAAAATTTCCCTTTTGAAACTCTTCGGAATCACCTCATTGAACTTGAGAAACGGGATCATTATTTTCAACAACAAGAAGCTTTACCTACACAGCAGGCCTTTGCCGTCCAAGGTCCACAGCAGCCGCAGCCAGCTCACCCGCGTCCTGCTGCTCCCGGTGCCCGAGGTCGTGGTGGCAGAGGCCGGGGTAACCGCGGGCGTGACGGTTGTGGCCGCGGCCGTTACCAGCAGAATGGGCAGCAGGGCTATTTTCAGCCGCAGGGGTACGGTGGCGCTCCTCCGGTCGCTGCTCCGGGTCCTCACGCAGGGGGTGTTCAGTATCCGCATAATATCACTACAGGTACTGTCATTAGTAAGTTTACTGTGTCACATTTAAATATTCATGTCTTACCTGTCTGTGCTACTAACAGTGGATATGCAGGCTTTCCTTCAGATGGGGGTATTCTGGGCTCCGCGCCCCCTCCTATTGTGTGTCAGATTTGTTTCTCTACAGGTCACTCGGCTATTACCTATCCTTCACGTTTTTCTCAACCTTCTGCGCCTGCTTTGCTGACCACACCTGGGGAAACTAATCTTGCTTTGTGGTACCCGGATTCTGGGGCTTCTGCCCACATGACATCATCTGAAGGTATTTTACTTAATAAATCTACTTATGTTGGCTCTACTTCTATTAGTGTTGCCAATGGTGAACAATTACCATTAGTAATGTTGGTGATGTGTTAATGCCCTCGTCCGGCCGTTCTTTAATTTTAAAGTCTGTTTATCATGTGCATCAGTTAAAATTCAATTTAATTTCTATTCAAAAATTATGTGCTGATAATAACTGTG